CAGCTTTCATCGTGTTTCAGTGGTCTTGAGTATATAATCAATGTATGGCTGCATATATAGGCCTTTGTGAGGCGTGTGTAAGTAACTCAGCCAGACAGAACCAATTAATCTTTTTTTTCCTTCAGCAGGATAGAAGGGGGGAGGTTATCAAATATTGTGATATCTGACTTTTATGATTCTAGAACGGCTCGGACGATTGACAGTCTCGCCAGCCGCATTGAGGACCCCCAGATCCAGGCCCACTGGTCCAACATCAACGATGTCTACGAATCAAGCGTCAAAGTCCTGATCACCTCCCAGGGTTATGAACAGATATGCAAGTAAGTGTGAAATGGGCTAGAGTTATCAGAGGAGAGTGTGTGTTAATTAATCAGCTGTTTATATTTCGTAGTTATGTTTTTGGGGGGGGAATGTGAGTTATACATGGATTTTGAACTACACAGGGGTCCGTTGCCCCTAACCCCCAGCATTACTGAAGGGAGGAGTGTATTATCATTATTTTGTTGTCCAGAATTTGGGAATGTTCCTGTTTGGGATTCCCAGCTCCTAGAATGTCCCATCCAGCATGGGCAGTGACTGTTTCTCTTGAGTGCTAGCATGGTGCATTGGCCCTCATCTGGTTGGAGGATTCTGAGAGTTGAGATACAGGAACGGAGGTTTTCTGAGACCTGTTTCTGCCTCTGTACTAATACTTTCATATTTTCAAAGATCCATTCAGCTACAACTCAATATTGGAGTCGAGCAAATCAGAGTAGTGCACAGAGATGGAAGAGTGATCACTCTGTCCCATCAAGAGCAAGAGCTGCAGGACTTCCTTCTCTCCCAGGTAAAACCAATAATTTTTCCCGGCTCGAGTACATGTTTTGGGGCCATGGCTGGAGTTATATGTGCCTCTCTCCCTGTCTTCTAAAGTTAGTAGTGAATGTGGATTGCAGGCCATTCACCAAGCATATATTTGCAAAATGTGCATCAGACCATCACACGATCAGAATTTTTAAAAACTCCGTGCCAGGGAGCATGCTGATGTGTGCAGTTTGATTCCTCCTGCCAGAAGCAGCAGCTAAACAAGCCAAGGGTTTTGCCATCCATGATGGGGACTGCAAACTCAAAACTGTGGTTTATTCCTCTCCTAACAAGACAGAGACATCAGTCATTTGTTGTTGGGGGTTTTTTTTGGCCAATGACTTCAGCTTGTTTAGAACAGCAGGCGGGAATTTGTAGTCCAAAAAGGTAACTCTTCCAAGCTCTGATTCAGGACCTTGTGACAAACAAGGCTACTCACAGAAAGTCTGGCTTTCTTTAGCTGCTCCTGCTGACAATGCATGCAAGAATGATAGTCCTAAACCATGGAGAACTTACATTTATAAGCATCTGGTTATATTATGATAAGTAGCAACTGCTCTGTATTTTTGCAGAAGAATTGCCAGCCATGCATGTAACAGAACCTAGGAAACACTGAAGTCCACACTAATACTTTCCCCCTTATTTATTTCAGATGTCCCAGCATCAGGTGCATGCAGTTCAGCAGTTGGCCAAAGTCATGGGCTGGCATGTGCTCAGTTTCAGTAATCACGTGGGGCTGGGCTCAGTGGAGAGCATTGGCAATGCCTCGGCCATAACTGTAGCATCACCCAATGGAGACTATGCTATTTCAGGTATTGTGCCAGGATGAAAACCCATTGTGAATTGCAGTTTTTTCATGTGCGATAATCATCCAAGTTTCCAGAGGATTCCAGACTTTGATTTGCACAGGTGGAGTGTTATGTGTCTGTCAGAGTATCTGGTCTAAAGCAGACAGTGAGCCTGCCATCTGAGGTTTGTTTAAGCAGGGTCTGGCTTGTCTTTCTCACAGTAAGTTAGATAAGCCACTGATGGTTTGGTTCTATGTTATTTCATTCCTTTCTGGTGAGAGAGACAAATCAGGTTTGAACAACCAGCAAACGAGCTTAGGTGAAAAGTCTTTGTAGAATTCTGTCACACTGTGACGTCCGCATACACTCCCTGTGTGGGCTACATAGAAAGCAATTACAGTTTCAGAAGCTTATTTGATCAGAAGAAGGATTGGGGTACGTAGCCTTTCAGATGCTCTGAGAGCATTTGCTACGCTGGAAAAGGCCAGTGGGCCTTGCTGTCCAGCAACATCTACAGGGCCACAGATTCCCACCTTGATCTAAGTGTTCTTAAAAAGTCAGACTCAACTAAACAGTATAGCATGCTGAGAAACTAAGTTTTTGTGCTATTGGTTGTTGTGGGTTTTCCGGGCTGTTTGGCTGTGTTCTTAAGGTTTTTTCCCCCTATCGTTTTGTGGCCGGCATCTTCAGAGGACAGGAGTCAGAACTCTATCTGACTCCTGTGCTGTTGCTATGTTAGGAGATACACTGAGCAGTTGTCTTTGATATTTTATATATACCATATTTTTTCCGTGTATAAGACTCCCCCACTTTTCTAACCCAAAATTAAGAAATCTAAGTGGGGCTTAGCAAGTGTAGGGGGGAAAGGGATCAAAGCACTGCAGGATCACTTTGATCCCTGCTTTCCCCTCCACTTGTTTTTTCTCTCCTCAGCTTACTTCCGCGTATAAGACAACCCTCAATTTTTTGTCTAAAGATTTTAGAAAAAAGTATAGTCTTACACATGGAAAAATATGGTAAATTGGGCTTTTTAAAGAAACAACCTGGAGACCTGCAGGCAATTATTTAGCTTGTAAATGAGAATTGATATACAGTACAACACTCAGCCACTTTCTGCCTCAGCCTCCTTTGTTGAACACTCTCTTGTTGAAAGCACACTAGTGTACTGCTGAATGCAGATCCAACACTTTCGTATTGACACACAGGGGTGCATGTGCTTGCCTTCTTGCAGTGCGCAACGGTCCAGAGAGCGGCAGCAAGATCATGGTCCAATTCCCACGGTGCCAGTGCAAAGATCTCCCCAAAAGCGACGTGCTGCAAGACACCAAATGGAACTATCTTCGTGGCCCCTTCAAAGAAGTCCAATGGAACAAAATGGAAGGACGGAACTTTGTATACAAAATGGAACTCCTCATGGCAGCTTTGACCCCCTGCTCGTAGCTTTAAAAATGCAGAGGGACTTTTGTTTTGGTTCAGATCTTGACAAAAGGGAATGGTGGTTGAAAAAAACAGCAGGCAAGCTGAAGAAGCCATTTAAAGTTATTTTTCTGCACTCTTTTTTCCACTCCTGATCATTCCGTGCATTCCCCCCCCACCACCAAGTGACATAATAATTAAAAGAATTCCTGTGGGTGTAACCGTTTCTCCCAGTAGCATCAAATGTCTTTCGTTCTGGATGGAATTCTTCCAGCAAGCTCAGCATCTTGGGTTAAACAATGCCATTTCTGAGAAGCTCTCTTGTAAGCTACACATCAAATTTGCACTTGTATTTTAATCATGGGAGTGCCTAGATTGCTTGCTTATATGCAGTAGGACCCCCTTATCTGTGGGATCGGTATCTGCTGATTTGCTAATCCACAGTCTGAAAGTATTAAAGGAAAAACCCCATACGTATATATTTCGAATAACGGAGGTACCAGAATTGGCCACTAGAGGGAGCAAGAAATGCTATTAATAGAGTTCACTATAATCCATGTTGTTCAGCATGGAGAGGTTTGGAATCAGCGTTCCCTCAAGCTGGGTGACTGCACCGTGTTGCATCAGGTGCAGGCACCTACAGCCAGTGTTTCCTCCCCAGAGCTGCATACAGGAGGGTGGAGTCTTGCCCAGCGGGGCCAAAACTGATCTCAGAACTGATCTCCCGTGGATATGAGGGTCCTACTGTACCTCCTTCAGAAAAGAGCATTTTGCCCAGATTAGCAAGGGAAACTCCTCATCCTATCAAGGATAGGCACACAGGGCTGTCTAGTTACTTTCCATAGTGATACATAACCACCGTGTTTACAGTCCTAGGTGGGACCGAAATATAATAAAAACAGAAGTCCTTTACAAATCCTTTGTGAGATCTTTGCAAAAGTTGTTTTTAGCCACTCAGGGGCCAAGGATTTTTGTCAGCAGAAAAAGTGTTCACCCCAGAATATATATATAGTCGTGTCCTCAGAAACTTCCATGGTTGGATGATTTACTCAATTTTTTCAGTCGGTCCCTCTTCTCACTGCAGGGAGCAAAGTAGCATTTTTAAAAATGGGTCACTTTTTGGTTTGGGGCAAAAAAAAAAAAAGATGCAGCACCTAGGCCTTTTATAATTGCATACACACACACAGTTTAAGAGAAAGTGAATTCGAAGTCATATTTATGTTAGCTGCGCAAGATGCTTTGCCTGTAGAGTCGAATGTTGGATGATGGTTCTGGCAACGCCGCTTCACAAGGTGGTCTGGATCCTCACCAGCATCATGGTTGAAACATTAACTGACAGCCACCGCTCGGAACATTCTGCACACCACTGGGGATGGTAAAGTTTAAGAGTACCCGAACATGTCTTGCGCTGTTGTTATTCTCAGGAGAGTGCATGGTAGGAAGGTAAACAGATAATAAATGGGTACAAGCTCAGCTGGATTAAAAATTTCAGAAACACCAATTAAAATCTCCACCGAGCCATGAAGTTTATCAGAAGTCAATTATGGGCAGGTTGTTCTTTTACTGATCTGCCCGAGCTGATGACGAGATTACCACTGGCACTACTCTGAATATTGTAGAAAAGAGGAGAGAGAAAAATGGAATACAGTTGGACAATAGTATCCACAGGGGGTTGGTTCTAAACTCTCCTGCAGATGCCAAAAACAGGGATAGGCAAACCCTATACCAGTGGTTCCCAACCTTGGGCCTCCAGATGTTCTTGGACTACAACTCCCAGAAGCCTTCACCAGCACCTCTGCTGACCAGGATTTCTGGGAGTTAAAGTCCAAGAACATCTGGAGGCCCAAGATTGGGGACCACTGCCCTATACTGTATATAGCATAGTCTCTGGTTCTCTCTAGTGGCCAGTTCTGGTAATACACCTTGGAAATGCATATTTCTGAGGTTTTTTTAATTTAATTTCCATCAGTGCATAACTGAAACAGGAGGTACTGGTCCCACAGGTACAGCAGTCCTACTTTATTTTTTCCTGGTCTGGCATCGAAAAATTAGTGGGGGAACTTCTAGATTATTATTCCAAATTCTTGCATCAAACAAAATACCAGTGACTTTGATGGGGGGGGGGAAGACATTACCACCAGTTGCCTTTGTCTTTTTAATGTATTTTTAAATTTTGATATGTTAATAAACAGTTGCAGCATTTTAAAACAATTCAGTCTTCTTCCTACGTGCATTCAGGGCTATTGTGGGTAATCTTTAGCACCTTTAAGTCCTCAGCCATGTCATCCTGACATTACCAGTGGCGGGTCAAGTGTCTGAAGATGGTGCAGGTGAAATAACAGAAACCCTCCTGGAACATGTCCACTGTAAGTTATGGGACTGAAATGACAGCATCTCTCCGGCTTCCACAGGTCACTTTCTTTTCCATCAATCAGGCCACAAAAGAAAAGTACAAAAGCTTTTCTTTCTTCTTAAGTGAAAGAACCTGGTCTGTGCTTAAATAGTCCTTCGCTAACAGCCCATCACTTGCAGCTCAGTCTCTTCAGTTTCGCTGGCTGTGGAAAGAGGATATTGTTGATTTAAATCAGCTCAGTAGATGTTCTGAATAAAACAACAGCTAGAGTCCTGTGGTGCAGTGGTTAAACTTCTTTACTGCAGTCAAGACTCTGCTCACAACCTGAGTCTGATCCTGGCGGGCTCAGGTAGTCAGCTTGAAGTTGACTCAGCTTTCCATCCTTCCACAGTTGACAAATTTGATTACCCAGTTCACAAGGGGCAATATGTAGCCAGCTGGAGAGTGCTTTAAGATCTATTTGGTGTTAAATAAGCTGCACTTTTTGGCATCAGAGTCAACTTCACTGACATTGTAGTGGAAACTCATAACAAAATCACTAAAACAGGAAATTTGGGTTGCACATTCTCGGCAAGGTCTTTCGCAAATCTGAGCCATCTAACTCAAATTCTGTTCTTGGAACTAAGACTCACCTTTTCATCTGTTTTTGTCATCAAAGTTCCAGACACTGTATAAACGGAAGTTCAGCCAAACGCTGTACTTAAGTGCCCAAAATAGATTTTTCATATGTGTTGTTCATATGGGTTGTTTCTACAGACACTTGTGAAATACACACTATCCTGTTATTATCATCTGTCTTGTGACCCCTGCCATCTTTCACTGTCTGCTGTGGCATCCATAAACATTTCAGGTTTTTCTTTGTGGGGGAAAATCAATAAGAAATAAAAGGAGCTTGTGAAAATTCCTCCATCACATTAGATAGCTGTTTTAGGTATCTGACTGCAGAGCCAGAAGTTGGGAGTTCCCCATTGTGCATCCCGTTAAAGACAGCCTGTGTGGCCTTGGGCCAGCTGCACAAGCCCTGGAGACCCCCCCCCAGAAAAGAGGGGGTGATAAAATAGTTCTGAGGCCTCTTTACTCAGAAAACCCTGAAAAGGGTTGCCCTATGTTAGAATTAACTTGATGGCACTCAGGTACTGTATTACAGGCACTCCTCACTTAACGACCGAGTTCTGTCCGTCTAGGTCACTGGTTCTTAACCTTGGGTTACTCAGGAGTTTTGGACTGCAACTCCCAGAAGCCTTCACCACCAGCTGTCCTGACGGGTTTCTGGGAGTTGCAGTTCAAAAGCATCAGAGTAACAAAGGTTAAGAACCACTGGTCTAGGTCATTAAGTGAGGAGCAATAGTGTATAGGGGAGAAATAAATCATATGTTGTTGAGAAGGGGCATGAGGAAGATGCAGGGATGGATTTATGAGGGTCATTAAGGGTTGTAAATCCAAGTGGTCGTTAAACAGGTACTTTGTTAAGCAAGGAGTGCCTGTATGTGCCTGAGAGTTATTTACTCTTGACTGCTACTAATTCTCCAGAGTTTCAGGCAAGGCGTTTGCCTTTCCCAGCCCTACCTGGAGGTGCCAGAGACGACCTGGTATTTTTTTTTTTTTGCATACAAAATGTGCATTTGATCACAAAGTTGTGGCTCCTCAGAGGACAGATCCAGAAGGAGCATAGATGTAAGAACCTAAGAAGAGCCCTGCTGGATGAGGCCAAGGGCCCCTCTAGTCCAGCTTCCTATATCTCCCAGTGGCCCCACATGAGACAACGAGAGACCTGTCTCCTCTGCATCTGGCATTTGGAGGTCCCTTCCCCTATGAATTCTTCAGTGTAGGAACTGAGCAGCTGAGACGTTGGCTTCCATAGTACTGTTTGTAGGAAAAGAGGAGGACCGTTTCCAAGACAACCAACTCTTGGGCCTAAGGCTCATGTAATTATGCTTCTAGTGTTTACTCTTCAAGTCCCAGGACAGGTGTTTCCTATGCTCAGAGTAACGAATGAAATTTGGGGCCGGGACAGGATGGAATTAATGAGTGCTTTGGCTGAGGAGACGGTCCAGCTTGCTCCATATTGTCCCATGTGACTGGGACCAACTTCCCATAGGTTTCAAAGTGGGTCCTTTCCTAGCCCTTCTCAGAGTTCTGCAGCAATCTCTCTTCTATATCCTCACCAGACCTGGCGCAGCTTAGCTGCCAAAGTCAGTAGAGACCAGATGTGTTCCAAGAGACAATGAACACAGCTTTCCTCCTGGGTGGAGCACCCAGTCGTTGGGGACATGTTTTGCATCCAGAATGTTGCCCATCCCGGTATCTCCAGTTTGAAGAAAAGCAGGCGGCAACAGGACCGGCTCGAGACCTTTTGCAGCCCGTAGCAGAGCAGCCAAGCACATGGCTCTCCTGACCCTCGGCCAGGATACACAGTCAATGCTCTTAAATCAGCCATGTTATTTTGGCACCTGAAACACAAAACCCTACAAACGCAGCTGCTCGATACCCTGATCATAAAAACGAAAGACCCAAAAAAGAGTAAGAATGTTATGGCTTTTCCCCCCCCCCCCCAGATCTGCTGCCTGCACCCCTGGCCGTGGGGCTAGAGAGCGAGAAACCCTTTGACCTGCGCTTGAAAGAAACAAGAAGGACAAGTTTGCTTGTTTGCACAGCGTCTCTGAGATAAGGGTGCTTTTTTCTTTCCCCCAGCAGGTGTTCTCGGCTGCTACAATGATAGTTCTACAGTCAATAATGTCTTGTGTTTGTCTACCTTGGCCCCAGAGTAGTGACCCCCCAGTGGGACTTAGAAGGGTCCTGTACCTCAGCAATACAGTCTAAGGAAGGCACTGGAGGGAGAAAGGAGGAGCAGATTGGAGAGGGTGGAGCAGGATGTTCAAACAGGAGACCTACTCCCTGAATAGGAGGAGGTTGAGGAACGCTCCTGGGCAGGTATGCTCTTGAGGAACCAGCTGAGAGCTACCAAGCTGAGGTGGATGTCCCAGAGGAACCCCTTCCACCCATTGACTAGGAGTATATTTACAAGGAGGACCCCTGGACAGGGGTAATCGTGTCACTGAGAGCCGCCCTGGGTGAGGTGGGTGAACAGCTAGACCCTCAGATGCCTATAAAAGCCCTCTTACTAAGGAGAGCACAAGCAATGGGAGAGAAGGCACCTTGATGACCAACCAAGTCCCAGAGAGCCGTGAGCCGTCCAGCCGAGACCCTGACGGAGGAAATGTCACTGAGCCCGACAAAGTCAACAAACCAGGACAATACAAGGGAACGTGAATCTAGTGGGCTCAGACTTTTTATCCCAGTCAGTGATGGAAATGAGTCTGGAACATGTTACTGCTAGTTTGAAAGTCATCCCTGAACCCCTATTAATCACTCTCACTTCATTGCAACCACTGGTGTTGTTTATGGAACAAGCGATGGGGAAAAGAGCAGTTCCCTATCTAGCACAGGCAGCGGGGCTCACAGTTAGTGACTCCAGTTTGGGTGGGCAGGCAGTTAATAGGAAGCGCCTGGATTAGATCTGTTGTCCCTGTGAATCAGTCACCAGTCTCCACTGCTCTGAGCAGGTAGCTAGTTCAAGATTGCAAGAACTCCAGCTCCCATAACACCACCACCAAGATTGGTAACAAACCAAAATCACCACCACAAAACAAAAACGAAACCAGAGAATCTCTTCAGTTAAAAAGCAAGGGAACCTAATGCCTAAATCTAGTCGATTTAGTAAATCTGCTCTAGCTGGTACCAAATGGATCCAGGTCTCTGATATTCATGGATTCTTTAGTTAATTTGTATTTTTCCTTTGATTACCTTTGAGTTGACTCCTCTCCATCTGAAGCAGGTGAACAGATTTATTGCATAACCACATAAGGCAGACTAGAAGGCCGGACACAGCTGTGAGAAAGGCAAAAAAGACAGCTACGAAGTGCAAGTCTTCATAGAGAATCTCTAAAGAAGAAAGGAGACACATAACATGATGACCATCGATGATGGACTTCTGACGTTTAAGAGGCTGCGGGAAAAGAAATGGTGGCTAATACTGCTCAAACTTATTTTGTGCAAACCATTTTGGCTCTATCAACTTGCCTGATTCTGAATTTAGCTATCATATTCCACTACCTGAGTTGTCCCATATTTGCTTTTCATCTGCAATGGTAGATACCCAACTTGGAGCAGATATTTTTTGGCCATGGCTCGTGAAGAATTCTGGGAGCTGTACAATGACAATAAATAAATTATTATTATTAGATACCCAACTTGGAGCAGATACTTTTTGGCCATGGCTCCTGAAGAATTCTGGGAGCTGCGGACTGAAAAAGAATACCTCTTTTAAGCTGTGTTCTATGGTAGAGAATGTGATCACAGCTTTCAAAAAAAGCAGCCATATTAGTTTGTTGTCTGTTGCAGTGAAACAGACAACGAGTCTTAGGCCACCTTATAGACTAAGGTAGCCATTCTCAACGGGGGTCAAATGCCCCCTGAGGAACCCTGGCACATTTGAAGGGGGCCACAGATTCATCTGTTCATGTTGTATCCTTGTTTGGACACAGCCCAAGGCCTTCCTTGTTTGACAGGGGCTCTAGAACCTGAGAAGAGCTCTTAAGAACTGCTGGATAGCCCAGTGGTTGAGAGTTCAATCCCCCACATTGCCTCCTTGACAGGGGCTGAACTTGATGAACAGTCTAGCGGGGTGGGGTAGATGTCAAATAATAAATAAATAACTAAATAAATAAACCACAGGGTCACTTCCAGCTCTGCAGTACTGAAACATTAAGAGTTGTGGCCAAACCAAGGTTGAGAATGGGTAGACAAAGACTTAAATTAGCATAAGTTTTCATAGACTTTTGTCCATGTCTTCAGATCTGAAGATGGCATTCTATAAAAATTTATATCAAATAAAAGGAAGTTGTTTTTGTTACAATAACTTAGTATTCAATGAAAAATTGAAGTATAATGGAAGAGGTGAGGAGTAGATTCCACACCAGAAGAGATGTTGTAAGAGACTGACACCAGTTGAACGACTCTTATTTCCTACCATAAACATTCAATAGGATGGTGCCGTAGAAGGTGATCCCGAACTCATCCCTCACTGTGACTAAATAATAACCAGAATCTCTCAGATCCACCTTCAGGAGCTGAAGAGAGCCATTTTCATAAACGTTCACTCGGTCTTCGTAACTGCTGGATATGTTGGTGTAACTTGCTGGCTTCCACTCCGCAACCTTTGTGGTGCCCCTGGGTGATGTGTGTTTCCACTCGATGACCGGGGGCCTCTCACAGGCATACGCAACCGACAGCAAAACGTTCTGCCCAACGGTGGTGTTCACACTGGGTTGGGATACTCGTAATGACACTTCTTCTCCCTGGGCTGAACACAAAGAAAAACAATCTCTTAACTGAAGAGTTTGCAGAGAACAACTCTTAATTTGAAGATGCTCTTAGACTGAAGTCCAGAAGTGTTGAAGGACACAGAAGGCGTGAATTCTCCATTTCGCAACCGACTGAACAAGTACACAAATACCAGAGTGTTTTTTTTCTCCAATATGGTGAAATGATTGTTTTCATCTTTATATGATAATGATTTCTTTATTTGTATTTATAAATTGGCAGAAACATTTTATACAAATCACTGTCCCCTTAGGGCAGTAGTTCCCACCCTTCGGTGAGGCACGTGTTCGTGTACTGCAATTCCCAGAAGGCTTTCCCCACCACCTCTGCTGACTGGGGTTTCTGGGAGTTGCAGTCCGAGAACATCTGACTCTTTCGTGGTAGAGATTTTAAAACAGAGATTGGGTGGCCATCTGCCAAGGTCGGCTGGACTGTAGGAGTTTAGACTAGATGGCATTGGCACTTGTCTCCAAGGAGGAGGATGGATGAGATGACCTTCATGATTTTTTGTCAGTACTGGGCAATATAGACCAATGGTTTGACCCACTATGATGTGACATTGTAGTTTTCTATATTGAACATTGGAAATGGGAGAAGGTCCCCCATTTTGGGGGCACCAGGCCAATGGACAAAAATAGATCCAGCACCTTGGAGAGCACCCTTAAAGTTTGGACTGAAACCCAGAATGGATTCACTGCATCTGTGAAATCAGAGACGCCTGCCTCCACTGAACTGCAGGGCTCAAAATGAATGGCTCGGACACTGGTACTGCTGCTGCCCCCCAAATGTGCCACCTGAAACAGTTTCCTCACTGTGCCAAACAGCAAGATTGGGTGCTAGTTGTGGAGCAAGGGGCAGAATCAAAACAAAGCAAAGCAAGACAGTCTTTCCAATAGCAGCATACTATTGGCACTGTTATTCAGAAGCTTCTAAACGAAGGATATAACTGCCTGCACTCTTTGTGTATGTGGCTCATTCTATTGCTGCTGTCTGTAATTATTGATTAGCATTCTACAGCAGGAATTTATAGCCCATTTGCAGCATCAGAAGCAATCTGTGCTGCGCTCTTCCCAGCTGCACTGCAGATCTATTGGCAAGCAAACACGGTCACTGAGACCTGCTTGGTTTGACCCTGTATTTAACTCCCCTATCTCACACTTCCCTGAAAACAGCAAGTCAGATTTCAGTTAGAAACTACTGTTAACAGGGAAAAACAAAGAGCTGGTAGGACAGCAAGCCTCTGGGGTTATTCATGTAAGCACCATGTATACAAGTATACAACCACTCCTCCAGTTCACATCAACACAGTTTAGCTTTCAAAATCCATTAGAAAATTTTGGATGAAATTGCTCTTTGTAAGTCTAAACATCTGTGATTTCAATTGCCAGGCCAGACACTTTCTAGTCCCAGAAATTTCAGGAGCTAAACCTGAGTCCAGGATGTGTAACAACTGCAAAATGCAGCATGTGTATGTTGTGTATGCATGCATGAGACACAGAGATGGGCAACAGGGATGACCTACATTACATCTGAAAAATGGCAATACCTATAAGCCAGATTCCTGCTCTTCCTCCCAACTACAGTAGACCCATTTAGATAAGTGCTACAGAGATAAAAATCGGGAGTTCCATTCCCTGCTGCGTCTCCCAGGAAAATAGCCAGCCTGTGTAGATTTCAGCAAGATGCCCAGTTCTAGGGGCACCTCCAGAAGGGAATGGCAAGCCACTTCTGCGTCTATCTAGAAAACCCTGGAAAGGGTCCTAATCACATGATGGCATGCAATTATTATTATTTTCCAGTTGAGATTAGAGGTAGGACGCTGGCCATGATAACCTCAAACTTCCTCCTTCTCCATCGCGGTTTGCCCTGGAATTTATACTCCTGACTGAAGGTGTGGGAAAGCCTAGCAGTTCCCTAAGGCTTAATCCGACACTCTAAGGCCCGGCAGGCCTAGCTAGCAGCCACAGTGCTGCAGGTGCACACAAACAACTCATAACGCTAATATTGTGTACTGTCTCTTTCAGAGGTGAACCCTGAGGGTCCCATGGCTAACCGGCCTTATTAAAGGAATAGGGGGGGAAATGCTTTCCGCTGTCACTGGAGGCAAACCCTATAGCCCTGCATGTCTGAATCGGGTTCTCTGTGGTAGGAGCATGAGTGCCTATGTCAGCTCTGTCTCCTGAAATCATTCAGCGTTTGAAGAAGAGCTTGTAAGCACCTTTGGCTAAATGCACGTCCCAGCCTCCTTCACGTTGGAGCCCCACTGAGACCTGGGAGTTCTGTAAGCATCCTGCTGAACACACATACAAGTTCTCGTTCAGACCTTTATCTGTAATGCACAAACGTTTGATTGCCTTCCATGCTGTAGAGGAGCATACACTATGGAGGAGGGCTTACGGCCATGCCCTCAGACCCAATGGTTAGAGTCCTATACATTTTATACAAATCACTGTCCCCTTAGGGCAGTAGTTCCCACCCTTCGGTGAGGCACGTGTTCGTGTACTGCAATTCCCAGAAGGCTTTCCCCACCACCTCTGCTGACTGGGGTTTCTGGGAGTTGCAGTCCGAGAACATCTGACTCTTTCGTGGTAGAGATTTTAAAACAGAGATTGGGTGGCCATCTGCCAAGGTCGGCTGGACTGTAGGAGTTTAGACTAGATGGCATGGACAAGGGTCTCTTCAAATTGGGAGAGGCCGTGATGCAACGCCTGCCTCCAGGCTGAACGCTCAGATGTCAGGGTTTCCCATCTGTTGAGGTCTATTCCTAAGGCCTTCAGATCCTGCTTGCAGATGTCCTTGTATCGCAGCTGTGGTCTCCCTCTGGGGCGGTTTCCCTGCACTAATTCTCCATACAGGAGATCCTTTGGAATCCGACCATCAGCCATTCTCACGACATGCCCAAGCCAACGCAGAGTCCTATCAACATGTTCATAAAATGCCTGAACATAGTTTCTGGGTAGTACTGTTGCCCATTTTCAGAAGGTAATACAACACTGTGTATATTACACCTATTGTCAGGAAGAGCTGGTGGGCATGTCTCAGAATTGATGGCGTCCATAGGTGGACTCACCCCAACATCCTTGGTTGCCACCACAAACACAAGGGATCACATTAGTGTCCCTTAAGCTACCGGTTCCCAACCTTGGGTAAACCAGGTGTTCTTGGACTGCAACTCCCAGGAGCCTTCACCACTAACTGGCTGGGGTTTCTGGGAGTTGCTGTCCAAGAATGCTTGGGTTACTCAAGATTTGGAACCACTGCCTTGAACAATAATTGCTAAAGGGCTACTCACTTAAATGGTTACTCACTAGACAGGTATGTGTTTCCATCCTTCCATTGGGAAAAGCTCTATGGCTCTGTAGCACAACATATGCAAAAAGTAGTTCTATCTGGTTTAATTAATTTTAACTGCATGTGATCAAGCTGATAGGTAGAAAGTACTTAGAAGAGAATTACCATTCCTTCCTTCTCTGAGTGTTCTATGTAGTTTTCCTAGGGCGACACAGGCTGATTCCTTTTGCAGGAGGCATGGAGAAACATGGATTTCCTGGCCCCTGGCTCCACAGCCAGGTGTTCTCGTTTACTTTTCTCTTAATTGAGAACCTTGGCTTGGATTAAATGATAATATGTTCCGGCTTTTTTAAAGGAAGTCTATTCAAGTCTTCGGCCTAGGTGTGCATGATTCAAAGGTTCGTGCCGGGCACCCCAACCCTGCCCTACCCAGAAGTCATGCAGGCTTTTGCAAATTCAGTATAAAAGTTTGCATTTACCCATACAGTGCATTAAGGAACTGTAATATATTAATAAACACTTCTGTCTGCCATATAGCACCCTATGTGGCTCATGAACAGAGCAAAGGAACACCTCCAACAATCATAGGAATGATGCACACATACACACCTCTCTCAGTCTGCAAGCTACACCGACATAATGTGCATGCTGAATCACACAGAAATGGCTTAAAGGGAAACAACACACAACGCCCACCTTATCTTCCTCTTTTGGGTTGTTTTGTGTTGTGTTGTTTTGGGTTGCCTTATTGTCCCCCATCGTTGCTTTTAAAGAAAGAAGCAAACGGCCTCCTCAGTGTTATTACTACATATTATAAGGTGGAAAGTCTCTGGTCAAGATGACCTTTAAGGAGAATCCCTTGCAAGCGAGTCGGTGATTCTGGTTGCAAAATATTTAGTGGGAGCAAATAAAGCAAGGAAGGGAACAAGAAACCAAGCTGAATAAAATAAAAAACACCTCGTTGGACAAACATAGTTGGGCAGGACCCCACGGTGTTTACCCAATGACTCTGAAGGACCGGCGTTTGTCTAAAGGGAAGCCGCCTCCTGTACTTTCTCCTTGTGTGCTAATGAAGACTGAATTACGTGCTGGACCTGTCGTGAGGTGGGGAGGCCCAGCCAGGCCCATTGAGTCTGGGCCCTTTCTTTTATGGAAGTTGTCAAATTTAGTTTCTGTCACTATCACCAAACTAGTCAAAGAGGCTGTATGTTAATTTCATTTCATTGTTTAATATATGAACAGCCTCAGTGATGTTTGCTNCCCCCCCCCCCGGTGATTTGCTGTCTAAGAAAAATTGGACTTGTACTTTATCTACTAATTTCAATGTTGTATTATTGTTCTTTCTTAATTTGTTGTTTTAAGCTTTTAATATTGTTTCTTTTTCTTTTTTCAATACTTTAAGCTGCCATGAGTCCTATTTAGGACAAAAATGGGATATGGATATTTATTTATTTATTTTATTCAAATAAATAAATAAATAAGCACGCACACAATGAAATAAAACCATCGAGTAGCAAAAAAACTCCAGAGTAAGTGCTGGGACACCTAAAACTTTGCCATCAGAGAACTGGGATGCACATAATGCTACCATGTTCTTAGCTGGACTGCAGGTATGTACGCCTATTTTTATCATTTATTTGTCCACAAGAAAAGGGTTGCATTGCAGCTACATAATATTGCATTCTAATTGCTAATTTTGCTCCAGTACACAGAGCATAAGCCTAAGTGCCAGGCTGCATTCCTTCCCATTGCTAAGCACAACCATCCTAATGAATAATACTTTTTGACTCTGTCCACTTTGGCTGAAGGCCAAAATGGCTGCACTTCACCACAGGAGGAAAGGTTAAAAAAGGCTGAGGGGTTGGAACAGAGATGAAGCAGAGAAATAACCAGAATAAAAAAAAAAAAAAAAGGCTGAGAGATTGGAACGGAGATGAAGCAGAGAAATCATCAGATCAAGCTTGGTCCCTTGTCTCCCAGTAGAATTTTTGCTCACCATTTACACCTATATGTCTTTGGAAAATGGTTAGGAGAGGGACTGAAACTCCCTCAAAACAACCAACAAAATCTCCTGGTGTAAATCTATTCTGTGGCTGCGTTTTGGAGTACCATGTGCAGTCTGGTCAGCCAATGGACTCGATTGGCAGAGATAAACAAAATGGGTTCGTTTTCACCTGTGTCATTGCCCTTCGGAACTCCCCGCCACAAGATGTGGCAATCAGCCTTGGCTCAGATGGCTTTAAAGACAAACCGCTAAGAGGAAAATAAATGCGGACTAGAACAAGGCACCTGGAACAAAACATTATAGTGTATAGAGTGCGAGCCAGCCATCTCTTCTTTCTTGCTACTCCAGTCATACAGTTACTGCTCCCCCAGAGTTTACCATGCCTTTCCCACACTACAAAAGACAGTCAGCATTCCATGACCACTGGCTAAGTTCAAGTTCCCACCAAGCTGGTTGTGTATCTCTCCTCATACACACATACCCTCTCCTTTCTCAACCCTAAGTTCTTTTTGTATGCCTCCACCCAAAAAGGCACAGGAATGTTTTACAAAAGGGATAGGATAGGTACAGAAAAGACTATACGGAGACCCTGGAACGTGAGAGCTACAAGGGGGGGGCAAAACCTGCAGAAAAGGTCAGAGAAAGGCAGGAAAGTGGAAGGAGAAAGTCCAAGGCACTTACCCAGGAAAGCCCACCCTGCCACGAGACAGAGGGTGATGATGCCAAACTGCAAATTTAGTCGACTGCCCTGCAGGCAGGCAAGAGGCCTCATCAGAAAAGTAGGTAATGCTCATCGGAGTTCATTTAGCCAAGAGTCCAGAGCCACATGTTGGATTCCAGGAGTGGGTGGGTGGAAGAGTAAGGAATCTTGCTTCTTTCCCCCTCTTCCATGTGCTATTCCTACAGCCCACACAGATTGCAATCCAGAGGACTGTGTTAGCAGCTGGAGGCTCCATATCCCTGTGTTTCCTTGTACATATTTCTTTCCCACTCTGAGAATTCACTGAATTGTTTGATGAGAAAAAAGCATGCCTTCTGCCTCACTCAAGTTTACGCCCTCGAAAATCCGCTGATATTGATTTAGGGCACGGTTGAGTGAAGGAGATACCCGAGAACAGTGTAAATATGCACGCCAGCCAGGAAATGAGCCAGCCAGCCAGCTCTGCAGCATGACGTGGCCGCTGGCAACTTGGTCATTATGTTCTGGCTGTTATACCGAAATGGGCTTCCTCCTGAGCAAGATCCGTGCACTGTCTTCAATGGGGCAACCTGGCTTTAAAATGTGATTTGAGAAACGGCTGTCATTTCAGAATAAACCTAATAAATGATTCACTTGGGCCCATTTCAGTTGCATCATGACAATGCTTCTCTACAAGAGTGGGGAAACCTTAGGCGTAGGGGCTAAATCAGGCCTTCTGGGGGTCCCTGTCTGATTCTAGGGGCCCCAAATAGCCACACCCCTTCCCCATTATTGGAAGGGAGCACCAACTCATGCAGCAAGTGATCCAAATCAGGAGAATGACAGGCAGATGAAAACCAGGTGGGTTTCCCCTATTATACTGTCTATATACTGTACCTACATGCAAAGCGGCACACTTATGCTTAATCCCTTCTTCTTTTTCTGAAGCCACTTCCTGATTCTTCTCGTTCTTCCCTCTTTGACAGGTAGATCTGCAAGTCTAGATGCTAACTTGTAGATTTTATATATAAGTTTAAGAATTTTTTTCTCCTGCCCTATCCCTAAATTCAACCCTGAATGCTCACTGGAAGGACAGATCCTGAAGCTGAGGCTCCAATACTTTGGCCATTTCATGAGAAGAGAAGACTCCCTGGAAAAGATCCTGATGTTGGGAAAGTGTGAGGGCAAGAGGAGAAGGGGACGACAGAGGATGAGATGGCTGGACAGTGTCATCGAAGTGACCAACATGAATTTGACCCAACTCTGGGAGGCAGTGGAAGACAGGAGGGCCTGGCTTGCTCTGGTCCATGGAGTCACGAAGAGTTGGACACGACTAAACGACTAAACAACAATCCCTAAATAGTTGCTTAACTAGGATGGGCAAAGTTCAGCCTTGGGATCTCATGCCTCCTCCCTTGGGCCTACCTGTGAGCCTCCAGGAATGGGGGATTCACCTTCCCTTCCTATTGAACACAAAAAATTTACCAGTTTTTCCAAAATAGTAGCAAACTTTCAGCCTATTTTTTGTTTCTTTTTTTCTTTGTATTTTTGGCAGCCTGCATAGCACACAGGGGGCAATAATACACTGCTTTTTTGTTTGTCTGTTGTTTCAGATTATTATTCCAAAATGCCAGGCACAGTCGATCAAAATTATAAAAACATTGACTGGTATTATATAACAGATACAAGTTTTAACCGAAAACCTAAGTATCCATTAGATATAAACATAGTATATATACTGTTCGTAATATTGCCATTTTTGTTGCTATGATTATTATTCAAAAATACCAGCTACAGCCAGTCAAATTATAAAAATACTTGTTGTTGTTGTTGTTGTTGTTGTTGTTGTTGTTGTTGTTGTTATTAGCTACCAGTCTGCAGAATGGTTAATCTCCTCAACAGTTACAATCTCAGCACTTGCCTGCTGCATTCCTCAAGGCTATATCCCAAATAATCCTAATTTTCACGACATTGGTAGCTTTTTAGCTTTTGTACATGTTTTCTTTATTCTAAAAGTTTGAATTGCCTCTCCTAAGGCTTGCTTAGCATCAATAAAAGCTTTAAACTAAACTGTGGGTTATCTTCTCTGAAATCAAATTTGCCCCATAGGCCTGAAAGTGGTTTATCACCCTTGTTTATCCAGCTGCACTGAATCCCACCCTTTTTTTTCCCTCCAGTTTAAAGGGCTGCTTTTGACTCTTGAAGCCCTGAATGGCTTAGAACTCATTCCTTAAACAGACCTGTGACTGGAACAGGGGAAATTCTTAACACATGTCAGCATCTGAGCGTCATAACAGGGTTCTCTCACCTCCAGGATTATGCATATTAAGTTGCTTTGTTTGGTGACTGATCTTCAGGCTTTAAGCACAGGATTTCTTTGAGGTCTGATTTCACTAATCTGGAAGGACTGCTTCAATCACCTCTCTGCCCTTTCAGCCTGCTTTCAGCTCTAATTATGGGCTGTCTCCAATACAGTACTGTATTTATTTTCTGAGCCAGGTTAACTAAAAGACTACCTTCTTGTGTATATTTATCCAGACTGTAAGGTTTGCTTTGGATATCCTGCTGTATGTGCATTTTCAAGCTAAGTGAGGTGGATCGGGCAAGGTTGGCCCACAGCATTTTGCTGCCTGAGGCAAAATAGCAAACAAATCAACAAACACAAATCCCAAACACAAATCAAGGTGTGTTGTACTCAAAGGCATGTAGTAAATTCGGTTCATGATTGTATTCCTGCATTGAGCAGGCGGTTGGAAGTGATGGCCTTGTAGGCCCCTTCCAACTTCACTTGTCTATTATTCTAAGACTTTCTATGAGGCAAGAAAGTCCAGAAGCTTCTTTCCTTGTACCTGGCAGTAAAAGTACAATAACAACAAATAAAAGATTCATTTAATGGCAGCCCAAATCTGCTGCCCAAGGTGGTCACCTCACAGCATCATACGATATTACCAGTCCTACCATTTGGCTGCTAAGGAGAGGCATTTCTTGATGGTGGCTCTCTCTGGTTAGCAAAAACTGTAGATTACGCAGACAGTAGTTATGTCAAACGTCACCCAGCATTGTATTAGTACTTCCGTTTCACTGTGAAAGACCAGTGCTTTGACAATCTTCTAGACAAAATTCTAATATTGTTTTCCTATAGATGTTAAAGGCAAGGAGCATCTCAGGGGAAAAAAATGAAGGGACAACTTTTAATTTAGCACAAACATGACTGAAGACAAAATAATTTCCCTAAAAACCCCTGGTTTTGGAGACACCCACTTAACTAATTTTTGCTGCTATACATGTATTTCATTCTTCCATTGCATGGAGGTCCTTACTCAAAGTCCTTAAAATTTTCTAAAACAAAGATATATGTGGTAGGGAAGACACAGTGGATTCACCTACACACCATGTCCCACGGTTACATCTGGATCAATGGGTCTATTCATACTCTGAAATTTGATGATATTCAGCTGATGCTTAAAAGGTCCTTCACTGCAATCTATTTTAAAACAAAGAGCTATTTTGTATCTCAGTGAATTGTCCCCAAAAGACTGGATGCCCTAGCCCTGTGCCAGAAAGATACAGGCCAGATCTTAAAGTGGAAGAATGGATAATTTTACATAGAAACAGAAGTGGACAAAGTCCTTTTATCCATGCCAACAGGGCTATCAGGGAATCACATGCCATAACTATATAACAAGCGCTATGTTCTCGAGGGTAATTTTTGTTGTGCAGCGTTCCAGAAGGACCAAAAAAATCACTTATCAGACAAAAACAAATAAAGGGAAAGCAAAACATAATGAGAAAAAGAAACACAGTGGTGAACAAGATGCACATAATTCTCACACACAAAAAGGACTGGATCTACTCAAGGTTGGCAATAACATCATCTGATCACTGGTGAGGAACACAAGAGAAAGAGTAAGATAAATACCCTTCTGGTCATGCCTTCAACAAAGTTATTTGGCACCAGTGTATTCACGAAGTTATTTGGCACCGTTGAACACCATTATTGTAGATTTTGGGCTGTGGCTTTTAAGTGCCACCTGCTGGAGATGATGCTAAATTGAAATACTGTAATAAGAAGAGTCTAGCCATGGAATGTAACCTGAAGGACCATCCAGTTTTGTGTTTGGTTCCCAGTTCTAATCAGTCAGAGGCCTCTGAGAAATTCAAAGACAGGATGGGAAGTGACAACCATTCCTTGTTTGCTTGTTCCTTTTCTTTAAATCCATTTTCTGTTCATGAAGCTCTGGAAGATGGTAACGAAGGGACCACATTCATGCCATGTTCTGCATCAGGGGACGACCAGTTGAGACCCTCCAGGTGTTGTGGCATTTGCCATAATTCTTCATCACCAGGGACACAGGAGCACCTTTCTGGGAAACAGACTGTTTTTGTTACATAAATTCATCCATCAAGAACCATGGAGTTCATAAAGAGCATTTGAGAGAAACAATCAGTCTCGCTGCCTCAGTTTCATATATCAGTGTGGAGAATCCGAATTCTCTGGAGCCTGTAAAATCTCCATGCAGAATAGATCTGTTGATTTAAAAACAAATCCTTTGCTTCAAGCTATGTATCAGTCTTGATTGGGATCTATCAAGAGTACAGGGTTTTTTTCGGTCTGTATCCTGTGGTGTCTTTAGAGAAAGAAGAGCCAAGAAGCTTTTCCCCTGCCATATGCTACACTAGAGATTTCAAACGTTTCACATAAATGGTTACACTTTTGATGTATTCGCAAAGGGTTTCACGGCCGGGATCTAATGGTTGTTGTGGGTTTTTCGGGCTCTTTGGCCGTGTTCTGAAGAACACGGCCAAAAACCCTGAAAAACCCACAACAACCAGTTACACTTTTCTTTTTTTTTTTCTTAAACACTGTGGGCAGTTTTATTTGAATTCAGGAAAGCAGTTCTTAAACTGTCTGTATTTAAGGAACCTGCTTGCATGCTACCTTGTCTGTTGAAGAACTTCCTGCATTCCACCCATGACCTCCCCATATAGTGAAAGGCAATGTGGTGAATATTCAGGGGTTCCCTACCCAGGGTTGATTTCCTTCAAAATGGATAGGTTTGTTCTCCTTGCAGTCCAGGGGACTCTCAAGAGCCTCCTCCAGCACCACAACTCAAAATCATCAATTCTTCAGTGTTACATACAGCAACCTTCTTTATGGTCCAGCTCTCACTTCCATACATCACTACTGGAAAAACCATAGCTTTGACTATGCAGACTTTTGTTGGCAAGGTGATGTCGCTGCTTTTTAAGATGCTGTCTAAGTTTGTGCAATCTGAGGAGGAGGAGCCAATTTGTATAAAAGGACATGTTAAGTGGTATCTGTAATCCGGTTTCGTTGGCAAGGTGATGTCGCTGCTTTTTAAGATGCTGTCTAGGTTTGTGCAATCTGAGGAAGAGGAGCCAATATTGTATAAAAGGACATGTTGAGTGGTATCTGTAATCCAGAAGGGACTGTGTTCTGTGCTGTGGAACACAGATCTGTCCTTTCTCCAGGGAACTTTGGATCCATCAGACTGAAGGTTCAGAAAAATGACCTACTCACAAAAAGTGGTATCTGTAATCCGGAAGGGACTGTGTTCTGTGCTGTGGAACACCAATCTATCCTTTCTCCAGGGAACAGAGACTTTGGAGCCATCAGACTGAAGGTTCAGAGAAATGACCTACTCACAAAACACCCTTTTGTTTTGGAGCTGTTCATTAGTCACGTCCAAATGGAAACTCATTTGCAGAATTTCAATAAGGTTTTCAGCTGTGTGATTGAGTACCTTCTTTGCATGCTGAAAGCAAAGGTTCTAGTTAAAAAAATCTGGAGAGTAGGTGGAGCTGTAGATTCCAGAGTAAAATTTGCCAGACTTAGATGCATTTTATTTCCTCCTAACATGGAAGATGTGGTGGCGCTGTGGGCTAAACCCACAGAAGCCTGTGCTGCAGGGTCAGAATACCAGCAGTCATAAGATCGAATCCACGCAACAGAGTGAGCTCCCGCCGCTTTGTCCCAGCTCCTTGCCAACCTAGCAGTTCGAAAGCATGTAAATGCAAGTAGATAAATAGGTATCATCTCAGTGGGAAGGTAAAACGGCATTCCCTAGTCCCGCTGGCCACGTGACAACGGAAACTGTCTTCGGACAAGTGCTGGCTCTATGGCTTGAAAACGGGATGAGCGCCGCCCCCTAGAGTCAGACACAACTGGACTGAACATGTCAAGGGGAACTTTTACCTTTAACATGGAAGAGCTAGAAAGTCTTTTCCTGGAAAAGCCAGGATTTTAGCTGCAGAATAGCGCTATTCATTGAGTGGCTACTTGATATTTATTTATGGTGGTCTTTGGCCCAGCAGCACATACGTCATGAAGTTCACTGGAGGGCTTAGATGTGTGACCATCTCCAGAAATGGGAAAAGTTACATTTTTGTACAATGTAACTTCCAGAATCCTCCATGTACAATGGCCAGCAGCTATGTTTGATGGGGAGTTCTGGGAACTGTAGTTCAAAAATGTAACTATCATCTCATTCTTGTGGTAAACCAAGAAATCTTGCTAGTGCAAGGGAAATCTTGGTCAGGAATCACAGCGCGACAAGCTTGGAGAGGCTGCAGAGAATGAGAAATTTTTCACGTACTTAATAATAGCAATAACAATATGTTTGAATATCTACAGATTGAACATAATATTGATGGATCCCCAGATAAGCAGCAAGGATAATTTACAAGAGCACATCTCTAAAACCTGGTAAATGTTAACAAGTGGACTATACAATACATATAGCAAAGCATGCTTTGTACATTTTAGACATTAAACAAAATGTCATTTGCTCCTTCAGGGACTCCTACAGTCTAGCATTTCACTATAAACAGCATTTCACATTCTGGAAGATCTGGACTGTGTGTGAAAAAGAGAGAGTCTCTGTGTGTACAGCTGATCAAAAATTGGACAGTTACTTTAAAATATAAATCCATTTTATAACATTTCAGACTACTCATTTTTGTTAACTACACAGTGCTTCTTTTTCTAGTTATACCTGTTTGTCTCACTAATTATTTTACTTCATTTCACAGTACTTGAAAACCTTGCAATTGATAAGAGAAGAGCATAAAACATTAAAAATTACCTGACAATGTAAGCAAAGGGTAACTAGAAAATATTATTCATCACCCACATATACATCACCATTACATACACATATGGGCATCGTCCACAATCTGTTGGTTTTGTCGCTTTTTGTCATGCCTTTGTTACCAATTATTTTCAAACTGGCTACAGACAGCTATATTACTTGTAACTCGTTGCATTCAATTTTGTAAAGGTAGTTTATATTGCTTTTAACTTTTCCCTTCCAAGGTTCTGTAGCTGGTATGCAAGAACAGAGTTGTTGTTGTTTAGTCATTAAGTTGTGTCCGACTCTTCATGACCTCATGGACAAGAGCATGCCAGGTCCTCCTGTCTTCCACTGCCTTCTGGAACAGAGTAAGAGGAACCAAAATGTCACCTACCAAACGTTTTGAAATCCAACTCCCATAAGCCCTTGACTCTATGGCCAACGATCAAGGATTGTGGGAATTGTTATCCAGAGCTTCTCAAGACTCACCAGGTTGGCTATTCCTCAAGTATAATAACTGTTCACAGTGTAGTAGAAGCTGCAAGATGGGCAGAAAGGCAACTGAGACTTCCTTCATCTCTTCCCTGTGTTGTCTCACAACACCACAAAGACCTTTTCTTTAGCCCATGGTTCCATCTGCAGGGGGAAGATGGGTCAACAGCACATTCTGTAGGTGGGAGCTTGTCAAGGGGCTCTCCTCCATGAAATCTGGAATGTGCACTCAAGCATGAACGCATGCACATACACACGCACACACACACACACAGACAAGCTTGCTGATGGAATGGCAAAGACCTATGCTATCCTTCTAGCTGATGTAGTCGTATTTATTCACATAAAGTCCCCCTGCATTATAGGATTGCACCATGACAAAGACATTTCCACCTCTGTGAGTTTTTGTGTGTGGAGAGGATCACAACCATGTATATCCTCATACGTTTTCCCCTCTCTCCTTAAATGACTGTCCTGTCACCATTGCAAGCAACAATAAGTAGCAAGATACTTAATGTGTCATATTTTTCAGCCAGCCTTGCATACACCACTTCCTCCTAGCTTTACAATAATTATCTTTATATATAGATACATAACTTTTTCCAGTTTTGGATTATTTCTGTAGTTATGAGCATTCACCACATCTCTTGTTCCTATAAATATATACAGCAACGCACACTATTCTGACTGTACACGTATGGGCCAACTGCTCCTTTCATTCTGTCTTCTTCATAGGCTGGTCACATTCCTCCAATATCAGTCTGCAAACAAGAAAAAGAGGGAAGTGCAAGTTATCATATTTTCTTAAGAAGGTAATCAACATTTTGACCAGAAAATTAAAAATCCTGAATTCTTCACAAGGTCAGTGTATCTAAGGACATTTTGTTGACAGACCTCTTCCAGATGCACCAATAGTGCACTTATTTGCAAATGAGCACAGCATATACCAAGATTCACATCCAAACTCCCTTTTTATAAACCACTTTGTTCTCATAAGAAAACTACTTTTCATGGGAAATCTGTAAAAAAAAAACTCTTTATGAAAAACTAAAAACCATTCCCCTGCTTGATTTTTCTGTTGGAGGCTTTGTTTTTGTTTATTTGGTAGCAAAGTGCAGAAGCCTCTGTGCTGCAAGGTCAGAAGACCAGCCGTTGTAAGATTGAATCCACGCGACAGAGAGAGCACCCGTTGCTTCTCCCAGCTCCTTGCCAACCTAGCAGTTCGAAAGCATGTAAAATGCGAGAAGATAAATAGGTACCACCACAGTGGGAAGGTAATGGTGTTCTGTGTCTAGTAGCGCTGGCCATGTGACCACAGAAACTGTCTATGGACAAACGCTGGCTCTGTGGCTTGGAAACGGGGATGAGCACTGCGCCCTAGAGTCAGACACGACTGGACTAAATGTCTAAGGGGAACCTTTACCTTTACTTTTATTAACTCTGGTTGCTCACATGAAATTTAGTACTGTAGGAGGTTCCATAGTGCTGAACTTCACTCTCCACCCCACCCCGTCCGCACCACCTTTTCCAGGTGAGTGAAATGAAATTGTCTGCAGGTGTGTGTTTTTCAGTTGAACTTCCAGAATCTTGCTTGGGAAATTCTTGGGAAAGGCTTGTAAGTATCTCACTAAACTGCACATTCCCAGGATTCTATAGGAAGGATCCATGTATTCAAAGTGCTATAACTGTCTAATTTAGATATATTTAGAACAGTGGTTCCCAGCTTTGGGTCTCCAGATGTTCTTGGACTAAAACCCCTGGAAACTTCATGACTAGCTGTGCTGGCCAGGATTTCTAGGAGCTGTGGAACATCTGGGAACCCACGTTGGGAAGCACTGATTTAGAAGGTTGTGTTTTGGGCAAGGATGGGGAAAGCCTGCCGTTTGAGATTATTACACCTTCAAGTTCTTTCTGTCTTCCCAACGATCAAAAAAGAGCAAATTAAATTTCCCCCATTGCACCACACAGAAGCAATAAACAGAGCAGCAGTTTCCAAGATGAAAAGGAACCTTCTGCTCATTCTGCAAGAGTCATTCTTGACTTCCTGCCCAGTTGGTGTCATTGCTTTTCCCAACTCTGCTGAATCTCTGCTTCAGGTGCAGACCCCCGTGGTGTGCTGCGTACACAAGCTGTCCCCTCACCTTTCTTTCCCTCAAGCATGAGCTGCATAAGAATCCGATGAGGCCCTTGACAACTTCGACGAGGCAGAGGACCACTTCAGCTGTACCAATGGCCAGGAGGAGGGAAAACAACACGATGTTCCAGACGATGATGTTTTCTGGTTTTTTGCAAATGCTCCAGTTAGTCTGATTAAACAAATAATTGTTTCTGCAAAGAGAGAGGTTGACGTAAACTTTTGTTAGAACTTTTCATTTAGAAATACTTCATTGGTTAGATCTAAAGTATCACCCCCAAGGTTGGGTGGGAAGGGGGGGAAAGCAAAGTCAAGGCTAAGTGCAGAAATAGAGATGGGAAAGAATTGGGTCATGCCAGTTCAGCCCAGTTCATAAAGGTGTCAGCAGAGGTGCTACTTCTTCCCACCCCAGCCTCCTCTGGCTCAATCAGCTCCTCACCAGGCCCGGCGTGCTTGCTTCCTGCACCTCCTCAACTGATCTTCCAGTCTTGGCAACAGCTCAGGCTTCACTGCCCTGCCCTCTTGGCTGACCTCCCACTCAGACAAAAGGGTGGGGCAGAGAAGTCTGTGCTCTTGCTCGTGACTGGGAGATACGCTGAGGAGGTGGAGAAAGCAAGCAAGCTGGGGGGGGTGAGTCACTGAGGAGTTGGGGAGGGGAGCAGCAGCACCTGTGTTGTCGCCTTCATGAACCAGCACCAACTGGGATGAACTGGTTCGTTTCCCATCTCTAGAGATAACTCTTCTTAAGAAATGTATAGGCATTAGAGCTGTCATTGTATAATTAATGCTAAGTCCCCGAATCCCCCATCCAACATGGGTGTTGACTGTGCTAGTAAAGGTAAAGGTTGCCCTTGACATTTAGTCCAGTCGTGTCCAACTCTAGGGCACGGTGCTCATCTCGATTTCCAAGCCATAGAGAGAGCGTTTTTCCCGAAGACAGTTTCTGTGGTCACGTGGCCAGCACGACTAGACACAGAACACTGTTACCTTACCACCGAGGTAGGGGAATGTAGTAGCAGAACACCGTTACCTTCCCACTGAGGTAGGGGAATGTAGTAATTGTAATCCAAAATAACTTTTTCAAGCTGCATCCCGAAGTAAGTAGACCTTTCCATCAAATACTCAAAAGTCTCTGTAGAATTACTTTTCACTTATTTCCCTACTTCTTGCCTCTCGGAGTTACAGCAGACGCCCTCCGTACACACGCACACCCTTTAAGACTGGGATTATATGCCTTACTAGGTCTCTCCCTTTCCTAGAAACAGCGTGCGGACAGGGATGGCTGAAAGTTTTGTTCCAGTGTGTTTGTGCTTTAAAAAAACTGGGATTATATGCCTTACTAGGTCTCTCCTTTTCCTAGAAACAGCGTGTGGACAGGGATGGCGGAAAGTTTTGTTCCAGTGTGCTTGTGCTAAAAAAAATTACCCATTTCTTCATAATCAGATTGGCAGAACTTGTGATTTAACAAATCTGAATCTGAGAGAAATGGGGGCAAACAGATTTGCTCACCAACAAACAGCACTTGGGATGTATAACACTAAAAAAAACACCTGAGTTTGATTCCTTGTTTGTCCAACTATGTTAGTACTGAATTAAGGTGGCCACCCCATTTTTCTGAGAGGCTTCTCAGCTTTACTACCTGTATACCAAAGGAGCAACGTGGTCCTCTCCATGCTCTGTACAGATCTTAGCTGGTACACGAAGGGGAGAGTTGTGCTTCCCTTCCTTTTTGAGGAAATAACTTAAATTTGCCTATTTGGGACAGGAAGAAGTCGAGGTTTTAACAAATGTGAATGCCAGAAAAATAGAGGTGGCAGATCATCTTGTCCTTGGGCATGGAATATTGCCTGTGATTCTGGAACTGGCAATCTTAGCCCCATAGCAGGAATAGATATTAGGGTGGGGTCACTGGGAGTGTCAACACTTTCATCTCTTATTGACCAGTGCACCTCATATTGCACACGCATTCATGCAGTGCTTTCCTGCTTTTGAAAATCTTAAAGAAGAATTCCCTACCTAGAATTTGGTGTCTAGAATCTACCATGTAATATTGTTTAATTGATTATTTGCAGGCACTGATAAATTAAATAAATTTTGGTTGGACGAAGAAATTACTTCCATTAACTGGACAACATTCTTTTTTCCCCAAAATGTTACAGTAGTTTTGATCTATATTTTAAAAGTGAAAATAGGTATCGTAAATTAGGAGAAAGCATTAGGTAGCTCAGGACCACCTACCAAAATCCTCTGGTAGATTTGTGTGGAATTGGTTGTAGCTCACCAAAAGATTTTGACCCTCAGCTCCTAATAGCAACAGAGTCCCTCCCTCCCTCCTGCTTCTAAATGAGGCTATATAAATTGAAGAAAAACATGGGGTGAAATTCAGGAGCAATGGTTGTGTTGTAGGATTTAGTTCTAATGATGAAAAAAATTAGCTTAATAATTGAAATATGTGATCTTCTGCCTCCTCTCAGCTACTGTTTTCCTCATGGCTTCTTCATTTGGTGGGTCTTGTAGTCAAAGTAGATCATGGAAGCTCAAAGTCTTCCTGCTTCTGTTCTAGGTAGATTCTTACTCTGTGAGCAAGGTCAGACATCACAGGCAAAGGATAATTCAGATTTAGTTGTTTGTGCCCATGCGTTGGCCTTGTGTGCTCCTTCCATGTCTTCTCCTCACCTCTCACACTCAGAATTCCTCTTTCCCAATTTCTCTTATTGTCATTGAAGAGAAGGCTGGTGGCCCTTCTATTAGTGGATCTGTCCAAGGTCCTGAATATATCTGAGGAATAGTATTCTATATTTTGTATAGCTCTTATAAAACTCCAGCTAAATCAGATAACAGATTTACTACCCCTGACATCAGATACATCACTGTGTGGTTAGCACAAGCCATCGTTTGCTTCCATCAGAAGACAGTCCAAATCAAATGGGAAACAGCGATTCCCACTTCCAGTTTGGTGGCCAAGTGTAACTCCTGAAAGGGACATAATGACTGAAATCCAATAATTAGTTACAACTAGAGCAAGCCTATTGAATCAGTGTTGTGTTAACACCTATGTGAGTTGCACTGGTTCATTGGCTCTACTCTAGTTGCAACTTGCTACTGGATTTTAGCCATTTGTGAAATGCATGGTTGCCCATTGAGGGGGTAGATAGGAATATTTATTAATAAATATTTGTAACAGTTTCCCTGTGACCAGAAATTGTGATCTGGGTTCCTTGTTGTGAAGAGTTCTTGATCAACAGAGGTTTCTACCTTCACTCAAATTAATGGGCACAGAAGCCCACTTCAGACTTTTCTACTTGACATGAGAAGAACAGGGACTGAGAAGGTTTGGCTAGCAGGTACAGAGATGTTTTAGGCATCACTTGTGAATTTCCAGGGGCTTCTTCTGCCAGGGACATGAAGCAGGCATAGCAGTAGGTGGTTGTTTTTTACCTTTATACTTAACCATAGGAGACTAAGGCATGGTCCAACAGTCAAATCACAGTGTGTCTGAAGTGGACCTATACAGGACCTATAAAATCTTTCAAACATGAAAACAAGAGACTCAGGTGGCCTCAAACCTTCCTGCAGAACTTGGTCAACCCCAAACATTTTGCTGCCTGTCAAAGGCTACTCCTCAGACAACCCAAAAATCAGAGGTTTAACCAGACAAATTTTTGCTATAAATTATATTTTGCTCTGTAAACTGTCCTGAGATCCTGTGATATAAACTGACTGACTGACTTTTGGTGGCTTTCTTAAACATCATCTCGTCCAGATGCAGAAGAACAACCCAGAACTAAGAAAATGTATTTCTGGAGACCAGGAATTATTGTATCCTTCCAAATTCATCACTACTTCAGGACATTTGACAGATATAGTTTCTCCTCTGGCTCATCATCCCCCTCCACCATAATTCTTTCAGCTGCTTTCAAGTAGTCTCAGAGTCCTGCTTGCTATAGTGCATGAGAAATGGGTGAACAAAAGATCTGGGGGTGTTGAGGGGTGTTGCCAGTTCTGTCTTTTCTGCTATTGGATCTATTTTACACAGATGTCAGAGTTGTGGGAAAGAGCCTCCATCATACTCACGCCAAAGTGTCATTCCGGAAAGGATAGACGTATACCTCATCACCAATATCACACAGAGGACCGCTAATTAACCCCAAGGATGAGATCGTCACACAGTACAGTCCACCAGCAGCTCCAAGTGCAGCAAAGACCAGAGAGAGCACCATCTGAAAGACAAAAGACACCTAAGAAGCAAACACACATTTGAGAGCTAGTATGGTGCACAGTGTTTGACAGAGCCAGCACTATCCTTAGGCAGAACCAAGCACCACATCAGCTGACAGGATATGAGAAAAATGTTTTGAGGTGTATATGATTTGGGCAGAAAAATAAATTTGTTTGATTGATTGGTTGACTGATATATGCTGCCTTTCTCTTTTTAGGGTATTCAAGGTGCCTGACACTCAGTTAAAATAACTTTATAAGCACAGTTTTAAAACACGGTAAAATATAATATTAAAATTTAAAGAACAATGCTAAAAAAGACAATTTACAAACTCATAAAAACATACCCAACTCAATTCAGTATACGTAGCATCCCATAAGGGCTGCTATTTGTCCAAGTCACTTAAAGGGCTGCATAAAAAGGAAGGGTTTTGCCTGAGGAAAGAGGAAATGGCCTCATGAGGGAGGGCATTCCACAACCTAGGAGCCACAGCTGAGAAGGCTCTCTTCTCACATCAGCACCAACTGAACCTGTGACAGGGATGGGACAGAGAGAAGGGCTTCCCCAGAAGAAGCCCACTGTGTCTGTGCTCTTTATTGTTATAGCATGTTTCCAGTGTCTGGCAATTCTAATATGATTTTCAAGGTATATGAGATGATTAAGAAGTGGTTTACCTGTGGAAACCACCCCCCTCTTGCCTCATGGGTTTTCATGGCTGACGAAATCAATTAGCATCAAATAATTCTAAATTAATAAGAAAGGCAACTATTGTGAAAGTAGCACAGAGTAAATAAAATTAGTATCAAACCACAGGAGGGAGTCAATGCTACTTTCCCCCGGCTCCAAACAGTGGTCATTGGTAGGCGTCAATCAGTGATGCAGCTCAAGATAGCAGTGAGCAATGGATCTCTGTCCTTGACTGATGCCAGAAAAGGAAAAGGGCGAGGAGAGGTGGGAACGTCCCTTAAATAACCTAGCATTCCCCACTCTCCTCCTACATCATTCTCACAAGTTAAATGAAATCTCACGTTATCCTGGGGGGGGGGGGGCAAAGGCGAGCCACACTGCTGAAGCTCAGCAGCAGCATAAGCAGTTCCATAACATTGTCTAAGACTGATGATGTCATCAGCCACTGTGATTTTTTAAGAAACAAACAAAAAATTCCAATTCCCTTGGACAAAGGTCTGCATAGTCAAAGCTAAGGTTTTTCCAGTAGCGATGTATGGAAGTGAGAGCTGGACCATAAAGAAGGCTGACCACCAAAGAATTGATGCTTTTGAACTGTGGTGTTGGACTGCAAAGAGAACAAACCTATCCATTTTGAAGGAAATCAACCCTGAGTGCTCACTGGAAGGACAGAACCTGAAGCTGAGGCTCCAATACTTTGGCCATCTCATGAGAAGAGAAGACTCCCTGGAAAAGACACTGATGTTGGGAAAGAGTGAAGGCAAGAGGAGAAGAGGAAGACAGAGGATGAGATGGTTGGACAGTGTCATTGAAGCTACCAAAATGAATTTGACCCAACTCCGGGAGGCAGTGGAAGACAGGAGGGCCTGGCGTGCTCTGGTCCATGGGGTCACAAAGAGTCGGACACGACTTAATGACTAAACAACAGCATCCCACCTTTTTTTCATCGACTTTTAGGATGGCATGCACAGAGTTATCTCAATCTGTCCTGTCAATCAGGCTCATTGCCAAAACCACTGCCTCCCAGAGCATCAAGACTGCCAGACTAGTTTTCTAGGCCACTTGGTGTTTGATAACTGTGACATGCAGTTTGTTGCCATTTCTGACTCAAGGTGTTTGGGCAGCAGGGTTTTTTCTTCGTGGCTCGTAATGCGGCCCAGTGCCTTTTTTTATTTTTAAAAAAATTCCAAAGTTTCAAGTTACAGTGCTGGCACTTGCGGCCGGAAGGCGGCATGTCACAACGGTAGGGGGGGAGAGAGGGAGGGAAGGAAGGAAGGAGAGGGAGGGGAGAGGGGGGCTGCGTGACTGCATTACGCTGTCCCTGTCAATAGGTGGACCCCCTCCAGTCCCCATAAAGCCACCGGAGTTGAAGCTGGCAGCCTCTGCTGTCTGAGATCG